GCGCAAAGTGCTGACACTTATCAACTTGCTGGCCTTGTTACCACTGCACACTCTACGAGCAGGCAGGCTGTCATCACTCACCTGATTTTGCCATGGCCGCAGACATGACCGGACCCCCAAACCTAAAATTTAAAATTTTAGCAGCAAACCTCTCCATGATTTAGGTATAAGGCTTTCAAAAGTTGCAGCCCCAAGGCCTCAGGTTGTGTACCCCTTAATACATGCACATATATATTTTTTTCAGTTAAGATATAAATAAATTAGTTTTAAGCTTACCTTGTTGCGCTGTTATTCTTAAAGGCAATTTTGTAAAAGCCAGAGTAAGTGTCTGATAAATTAGAGGAATACTCTATGCCGATCTTATATTTATGTCCTGCAAGAAGAGTTTCCGGAGCTATAATTGCAATCTGGTCATTCATTGGGTATTCCAGGAAATTGGCTGGTTTGGGCAGGCTTGAACCCAGTGAAGCAAGTGTTACCTTGGTAATATTAAGCTTTGAACTATGAAGTATAATATGCATAGTAACCTGGATAACCTCCACAGTTATTAGAACAGAACCTGTTAATCTCATTGTGGTAAGATTTGGCTGCAGAACAATATCATAATGTTTTGGAACAATAGCACTGGGAAGCCTAAAATGAGCCCATGGAAAAGGTTTTCCATTAGTTGCCAAAGGATATATATCTTCCATTGTGAGGTTTTTGCTGTGACAACCTTCTTTGGTAAAAGTGCACTTGGGGAGAAGATAGATTGCCATTATTACGGAGACAGCAATCACAAGAACAACTGCACAGATTATTGTAGTCCTTACGGATGGAGCAGAACATGATCCATCTGAACGTTGCCTATAACCGGCCATATTACTTCGCAGACCAGTACTTCTATTCATGAAAGACATTCCCAGAAGTTTGGCTGATGACGATTCATAATCCTCTTCATCCTCATCCATTTCGTGATCTCCAAGACCACGTACAAGTAGACGAGAACTTCTTGGTTCATATTCTACCTCATCGGGCTCCAAAGGATGCAAGCTGGGCTCTTTCGCCAAGTCAACCACATCGGGCTCTTCCTCAAACATGCTGTTTTCAATCATGTTTCTAGGTAACTGAACTCGATCTAAGAAACACAAAAGCAACATGTTACACAAAAAGTAATTGAAATAGCTGTGGTTGGGTTTTTGATTATTTTACATATAGCTGATAAAAATTGGGGTTCATATTATAGTTCTCATGTAAGAAACTATTTGCAGTGTATCTGTAAAGTAACAACTCATATAGCTGCTGCAATACCTGCTGAACAAATGGAGGAATCAAAATGCTTTGGTGATTTCTTCATAATCAAAATGAATGATCAGAGATAAGATTAGAGAGATCATATAATCTGGAATGGACCTAACATTACGTGAATAGAAATCTATTTGCAAAGTGGGGATTATCCAGTCCAGAGCCACCCGTTAATGTTCCCTCACATACAGATTTATAGACTTCCTTAAGAATAATTTTTTAAAAAGAGCTAGCAAAAAGATAAGTGGATCATTGAATTTCACCAATGCCAAAAGTCTCTTCCGTCACCATATTTCTCTGGCTTTAAGGAAATCGCAGAAAACATATTCCTAATTCAGTACAGCTTGCTTCAAATATCCTCACTAAAACACAATATATTTTCTTTTAAAATATATCACTAAGATCAGATACAGTTTATAAAACTAAGAAACTGCAATCACTAGAAATACATAAGCAAATTCTGGTCATAACAACTCTGTATCTACTGACATTTTTCATGAATGTCCTCACTCCAAAATGCATTGATTTAGCTCATGCTGAAGGAGTTTTGGCCTTATCAAGTTGTCAAAAAACAATTTTCTATTCTCCTCTAAATATAAATACCTTCCAAATTTCATTGGAGTTTTCTGTCTTTAACAAGCATAGTGCTTTAATGTAAAATTTAAAAATAAGAGTAACAAACAGCAAGCATTCATCAAATACAGTA